TAGTTTACTTTATTGTCATTGCACCTTGTACAATGAAATCAAAAACCATCTTCAGTGCACATCATGACCATGACCATGAAAATAAACACAAGCATACATCCTTCACCCTCCACACATTGAACTGAAAACCCCTGACCACATCAACACTGCACTATACAGCAGAATTCAAAAGAGCTACTGCTCTGGGATAGAAGCTGTTTTTCAGCCTAGTTGTCCTTGTTTTTATTATTCTGTACTGTCTGCCAGATGGTAATAGTTCAAAAAAAGGGTTCCCAGGATGTGATGGATCTTTGAGAATGTTTTGAATTTTTTTAAGGCAGCGGGAGCTATAAAGCTCTTCCAAAGAGGGGAGAGGGCAACCAATGATCTTCTAGGCAATGACGTTAACCCTCTGGAGTGCTTTCCTATCTGCCACTGTTCAATTGGCAAACCATACAGAGGTGCAGTAAGTTAAAATGCTCTCTATGGTGCAGCGGTAGAAGGTCACTAGCAGTTTTTATTCAGTTGTTGTTTTCTGAAAAGTCTCAGTAGTGGGCCCTTTTGACCAGGGCTGCAATGTGAGCGCCCCAGGTGAGGTCCTCTTTTATGGTAACACCCAGAAACTTAAAACTGGCCACTTGCTCCACTCAGTCTCCATTGATAAGCAAAGGCTGGATGTCTGATCTGTTCCTTCTATAATCCACTATAAGCTCCTTGGTCTTATTGGTGTTGAGGAACAAGTTATTGTCTCCACACCATGAAAGCAACTGGTCCACCTCATTTCAGTAGGCAGACTCATCCCACCCAGAGATGAGTCCCACCACTGTTGTATCATCTGCAAATTTAGCAATAGTATTACTAGCATGAGTGGGAATGCAGTCATGCACATAAAGAATGTAGAGTCAGGGAATCAAAGCACACAACCCTGTGGTGTACCAGTGTTAAGAATAAGGGCTGAAGAGGTATGATTACTTAATCTGAGCTTCTGTGAGGGGGCAGACAGAAAATTCCATAATCCAAAGACAGATTGAATAAGAAAGTCCAAGGTCCAGAAGTTTAGACACTAGTCTATGTGGAAGAATTGTGTTAAACGCAGAACTAAAATCCACAAAAAGCATACTCACATAGCCCTCCCGCTGTTCTAGATGAGTCAAAGCAGTGTGAAGAGTGATGGCTATAGCGTCCTCTGTAGATCTATTTTTTCTGTATGCAAACTGGTGTTTATCAAATGTATGCGGAAGACCAGAAATGATGTGCTGGCAGACCAATTTCTCAAAGCACTTCATGATGATAGGAGTGAGTGCCACTGGTCTGTAAGGTTGAGGTTATTGATTGGGAACTTCTTTGGCAATGAAACAATGGTGGAAGCCTTCAAACAAGATGGAATAGTGGACTGGGATAAAGACCAATTGAAGATCCTGGTAAAGACTCCAGCCAACTGTTCAGCACAGTCTTTAAGCACTCAGCCAGAGATACCATCAGGACAGGCAGCCTTTCTAGGGTCCACAGCTTTCAGAATGCTCCTCACCTCCTGTTCCTCCACAATGAGGTGAGGGCTACAATTGGCTGGTGGTTGTATTTTATCTGTCTCTGATATCTCCACTTCAAAGCGAGCAAAGAAATGATTCGATTCCTTGGCCAATGAAGCATCCCCCTCAGCAGGGATGACATTGGTCGGTTGACAGTTTGTAATTTGTTGAATCCCTCACCACACCTGCCTCATGTTATTGCTATAAAAATTATCCTCAATCTTCCTCTTATAATCAGTCTTGGCCTTCCGAATACCATTCTTCAGATTAGCTCTGGCAACACTGTATCTTGCCCCATCACCGGACCTAAAGGCCTTGATCCTGTCATGCAAGAGGCACTGGACTTCCTTGGTCATCCAGGGTTTCTGATTGGGATAGATCCAAATATGTTTATCCACAGTGATAGTCTCTGTGCAGTGTTTGATATAGCACAGAACAGTTGTAGTGTGCTCCTCTAGGTAAGGCTGGTAAAAGATGTCCCAATTTGTGTTCTCAAACAATCCTGAAGTTGTTGGGAAGCATCTTCTCGCCAAGATTTCACTGTCTTTATTATAGGCAAAGCCCGTCTCCTAAGAGGGATGTACGCTGGTGCTAAAAGCAGTGACATATGGTCTGATTGTCCCGAATGTGGTAATTGTATAACCTTATAGCCATGTTTGATGTTGGTATATACTTTGTCCAATATGTTTGCTCCTCTAGTAGCACACTTAACATGCTGATAGAATTTAGGGAGCACTGCTTTTAAATCAGCTTGATTAAAGTCCCCGGCTATGAAATGCACAGCATCAGGATACTTATTCTGCTGATTACTAACAATGTTATACAAGAATCCCAAAGCTATGGTAGTATTGGCATTAGGTGAGATATAGACTGCAGAAATCAAAACCATGCTGAATTCCTGTGGAAGATATATGGGTCTACATTTAAGAGTCATATACTCCAGATCCATGGAACAGTGGCTGTCTACAGTCTTTGTATTGATACACCAGCTTTTCTTTGCATAAAGGCTTAAACCTCCCCCTTTGACCTTGCCAGAATCTCTACTCCTGTCGGTGAGCTATGTAACCTTCCAGCTCAACAGCTGCATCTGGAATGAGTGAATGAAGCCAAGTTTCTGTGATTAGCAAAACACAGCAGTTCTTGATGAATTTAGTCTTTGCAATCTGTAGCCTTAATTCATCCATTTTGTTAGTCAGAGATCTTGCATTGGTAAGAAATATATTTGGAATTGAAGGCTTGTGTGTAAACTTACTCAGCCTAAAGAAAATCCCAGCATGGCATCCTCTCTTCCAATTAGTTAGTTGGTAATTGAAATTGCATCTTAAGTATTGTTCTACCATTGCATTAATTCGTTCTGATTGAGAGAGCGATTTCAGCAAAGGAAGGAATAAACTGACTGTAGGAATTAGCAAACCCCAGGAAGCTTTGAAGTTGCTTGCAGGTTTACGAGGGTTGCCAGTCTAGGATGGATTTGACTTTTCCTGGGTCCATTTCCACCCCCACCCCCCAATAGACACCTGAGGGGTAGGTAGTCTAGGCTGCTTGTGAAATTCGCACTTGGATAGTTTGGCATACAGGTTTGCTGATATGAGATTCTTGAGCACCTGGTGTACCATTTGATGTGCTCCTCCATGGCTTCAGTGAAGATGAGGATGTCATCTAAATATACAAGGACCCCTTTGTACAGGTGCTCATGCAGCACCTCATTGATTAGTTGCATGAATACAGCAGGGCTCCCCTGAAGGCCAAACAGCATCACATTAAATTGGAAACTCCCCAGCAGGCAATTGAATATACTGTTTTCCACTCATCCCCCTCCTTAATCCTCAGCTGGTAATATGCCTCTTGCAGGTCTAGTTTGGTGAAGATTTTCCCCTTTGCCAAGTGGGCCAGCATGTCTTTCATTTGGGGGAGTGGGTACATATTTTCCATGCAGACATGGTTAATTTCTCTAAAATCCATACATAGCCTCGTTGTTCCATCTTTTTTCTCTTTGAACAGCACCGGCATGGCCGCCCTTGATTTGCTGGCTATATAAACCCTCTAGCCAGGTTCTGATCAATGTACTCCCTTAGTTCCTTCATTTTGGTAGAGGTCATGGAGTACAGCTTCGGTTTGGGTAGTTTTGTTCCTGGCATAATCTCTATTGTGCAGTTGGTGGGGTGATGGGGGGGCAATACATTGCATTCCACTTCATTGAAAATGTTTGCTAGGTCCTTGGGAATCTGGGGGGTCCTTGCGAATTGTTCTAATGCAGCTCTTGATTTCTCACTTTACTTAGTGTCCTTCAAGTGCTGGACAGCTCCTATTCCAGAAGTGCTAGGAGTGGGGAAAGGAACTATTCCTAACCTTAATTTTCTCTCTCCCCCTTTCCACCAGGACAGTCTCAGGAACACCGCCGCAGTCATTTTTTGTGCCACTACAAAGGAGATGAGCTCCCAGTGCCTGTCCACCTCTAGCCTTACTGGTTCTGTGAGGAGCGTGGTGGGGGCTCCCCCTATCAGTGATCTATCAATCTGATCAAATCTTATAGGCCGGATCAGGACTTTAGCCTTGATCCCTAGCTTCAGGACAGTTTGCAAGCTGATTAGACAGTGAGTGCACCTTGAGTCTATTAGGGCTTCTGCATCCCTCTGGACCCTGGATTTTGGTGCCACAATTTTTACAGGGATGGCGAAAGGGTGGATGGCTTCACTTACCATTGGGTCATCCTCACCCTTCATCAAATCTCAAAAAATACCCCACAGAAACTCCTCCATAATGGACAATGAAGAGAATAATAAACAAAGCAATGTTGTCATTCCATACATTGCATAAATAGCAGAAAAGCTCACGGGGATCTTCAGCCAACATAACATACATGCACACTTCAAACCCGATAAACTAAGGCAGAAGCTTGTCCACCCCAAGGATAAAACACCCAGACACAAACTGAGCAATGTGGTATATGCAATACAATGCAGTGAGCCATGACAGATCTGTACATTGGGGAAACAAAACAACCACTTCATATATGCATGGCACACATAGGAGAATAAATCCATCAGGACTAGATTCAGTAGTCCATCTGCATTTTGAAGACAGCACAGAGAAGATTGATGGTTTGAAAGAGGGGTCAAAGAGGCCATATATGTCAAAATTGAACAGTCCTCTCTCAACAAAGTGGGAGGGATATGACATCATCAGTCTACAACACAGTCCTTTCAACAGCTTGAAAAAGGCTCCACTTATACCACACAGATAAACTTCCAGGTGATTTTAACAACTGGCTAAAAGAATGCAACTGTCTGCAAGGAGTATAAATCCTTCCATTACCGAACATCCAGTCACAGTTGTATGAGAAGCAAAATGTCTTCAAAGGAAAGCCAGAAAGCCCAGTTGCCTCTTGAAAAAGCACCTTTGGGTTAAGGAATGGCAACTTCCTTTTTCCTTCTGAAGTGTAAGAGAATATTTTATCCTTAGTTTCCTGAATATTTAAGAAAGGCTACGTACCTCAACCACTTTATAGAGAAAGGAATATACCAGTGAGGCATTGGCATTCTTCATGGTGATGGCCACCACTATATGAAAAATTAAGGACAAAGATAAGAGACATATATGGACAGTTACACTAGACACCTGTACTCTAGAAAGAATTAAAAGGACAAAATTGCACATACTACATAATGGTTAGTTGGTAGCCATCATGCATAGATTACTGTGTTACTATGGGGAAAAAAGGCTGTTTTAATCAGTCTATGTTTATCAGGTGCATAAACATGCTTATTGGAAATAGCATGATCAATAATTCCACATGTACCGTTTAAATGTTTCCCTTATTGTGATGAAGATATGTTCAACGTGCAGAGGCATTTTCAAATTTGTAGAAAAAGCAGGAAAGTTTAGTTTTAAAATGGCATGGATTATATAGAGCAAGTTCTTCACTCCTTATGTTAAAATCATTTTTATCCTTTTTTTCTTTTTGAGGTGGGTTAGTGCAGGGGTGGGATTCAAAAATTCCAGCAACGAGGTGAAACGCTGGGTTTTGCTTCAAAATTAATTGAAAATGCGATTGCAGAATATGAACAACAAAGACAAAGGACAGAAGAGGAGGTGGAGCAAATCAAAGAAGGGGCCATCTTTAATTACCATTGAGAACAAAGAGCTCTGGAAAGAAAGAGGAAAAGAGTTGGAAATAAATATTGGAGATATGGAAAAATGAACAAAGAGGGAAATATCTGGAAAATTAAAAAAAGGGAAAAAGAATCAGCAGAAATTCAAAGGGTGGAAGGGAGTTATAAATAGAGAGGGGGATAAATACTGGAATGAAAGAATAAAGGGGAAAATACAAGGGGAAAGAAGAGATAAGAAACAGGACTTGGGAACAAAGAAATATGGGAATTCTTAAAAAATGGGGAAAAATTGTTTAATTAGACATAGAGATAATGGCTGATTGATATTTGGAGAGGGGATTCTGCAAGGTGCTGGGAGATAATATAAATAAATTTGTAGTTGTGAAATGGGGACATATAGATTGATAAGATGGAAAATAGAACTGCTATTTTTTGATAATGGAATTCAGTGCTCTTTTCATTTATGCATAGAGATAATTGTAACAATAATGGAATATGTTTATTAAATATTTTAAAATATTTTAAATATACTGAAATAAATAAAATGATATAGGAGCTGAGATGGAATTATCATCAGGGTTTAGAATTAAATGAGTAGATTAATATGTCCTTTTTTCTGAAATTGTAGATAAACCGTATGAAAAAAGGGGAAATCATGCAGAATCTGATTTATATATGTTATGAGTTTTAAATGGGATTATTAATTTTAATGTTTTAGGTAATAAAATGTAAATCATTTAATAAGATTTAAAAGGGGAGATAATTAATATGTAATTTAGAGGTGGCGCACTTAAACTGATATTTCGGGGGGGAACCAATTTATAGAAGGAGTGTTATTAATCAGAATTTAAGAAGAACATACAAATGTGACAGTTAAAAGTATTAAAGTATAATAACTATGAAGTTAATATATGTGAATTAAATAATGAGACAAGCATTTGGAATAATATAATAAAATAGAAAATGTACAGTATAACAGTATTGTTAAGAAATTGAATACAAAAATCGAATATGTAATTATGGTCATGAAACCTGTAATCATGCTGTTCACTAAAAAAAGATGATAAAATGTGGAAAACTGAATAAAACTTGTTTAAAAAAAAGTCCAGCAACTGGTTCGCTCTCCGGTTGCTGGGTGGGCATGGTCATGGTAGGCATGGCCTACTGGAATTTCCTGTTTCTGGTTTCCAGTGAACCTCCAGATGAGCCAGATTGAGAAAACTGGATGCTGGAGCAAACTATAAAGTTCCTGAAAGATGTATTCAACAACCTCATGGCAGGAGAGGCACTAATCTGGGCTTAGAATCTCCCTGACCAACTAATTCCAGCCATGTCAAGTGATGGAGCAATAACTTCTGCTGCCACGACCACAACAGCAGTGGGCACCTTGGCTGCAACAACTGCCCCTGCACTGGACCTTGCAGCTAAACCTGCCCCAGCTATGGAACCAGATCCTGTGTGATAGGGAGGTCGCAAGATGCTCACCCTTAGCATAAAATTCAAGGGAGATCCCAAGCACTGGGGTTCTTCCTGGCACACAACTGGACCTACGTACAGGAATATGGTCTAGAAACAGCTACTGAAGGGGCAAAAGGGCAATGCAAGACCATGACACTGGAGAGGCTCACTTCTGAATGGATGGTCACCCTCCACAATTACAATACCCTGGAGCTGAGAAACTTTGACTGCTTCATGACTGCTTAGGAAGTTCTTCAAGGACCCCTTGGCTGACCAAAAAGCCAAATATCACATAAAAACTATTAGCCAAAGACAAGAGGAGTGGGTGCATAAACTCAAGAATTTCACAACCTACCGGCTAACCAATTGACCCGAAGACATCTTGATCGGCTTGTTCCCGAGATGGGCTGAGCAATGAGATCTACAATAGTTGCATTTCCAGGGATGCCCCCTGCACCCGCCATGTTTGGTACATTCTAGCATTGATCTGGTGTGATCCAAATATCACCTGAGCCATAGGGGGTATTCCTCCCTTAGAAAAAGTGGCACCAAATCCACAGCCACATGAGCAGAGCTTCAGGTGTGGGGGAAAAGGCCACTGGGATGCTGACTGCCAAGCTGCATGCCCAACCCAAAAGGCAACCCTGGGAGTTGCCAAAAAGCAAGGAATTGTACCATAGAGAGCCCGTGAAACAGCACTAAAAGGAGTGGAGGTCATAGATGGTGAGATAACTCTGACCAAATTGCTGGACAACCCCGTGGAGACGGATTCAGATTACAATGATGATCCCTTGATAAATTTCCTGGTCAATCCAGTGACCATCCCCATAGAACCAATGGTCCAATCCTCGGGGTACAAAGGGAATTTAATAGCCTTCCTGGATTTGGGGAGTACCAGGTGTCTAGTCAATGTCAGTGTTTCAGCAACCCTCCATTCCAACCAATAACTCTGAGGCAGACATCTCTCAAAGTTCCTTTATTTGGATAGTAACTGGCACATCTATGGAATCCCGAATCTGAAAGTTTCGGGCTTCCTTGCAAAAGTCAAAACTACAAATCCATCCACCCTTAGCCATCATCACATCACATGATCCAATCACCATCCTAAAGTAAGATTCCCATTTCATTATGTGCCACGCTCAGTGACCTTGAACCAGCAAAGTAATTTTATTTTGTCTAACTAAATATACTCAAATGAATTCCTCCCTCCCACTTTCTCAGACTCAATTGTGGTAACATGAGAGCAATATGTCTTCCAAAGCTGACAGATGCCCCCCCCCTGAAAAAAATCACATAGTGGAAGATACAATAAACAAAACACAACCAGGGGTTAATGCGATGTCCTTAACCCCCTCTCCCCCTGCCAAGGGGACCCTTTGGTTTGTCAGGGAATTTTTCATGGAATTGGTTAACCAATCTATCTGCATGTATATTCCAACTTTTCACCCAAGTAGCTTCTGACAAAGGGTAGCCTTTCCATAGCATCAAATATTGTAATCATCCTCATTGTAATCTAGAATTTATTTCATAATGTATCTGACCCTGTACAATCAGAGGTTTGGAGAGAGCTGCTGGTATTGGCCTTAGATTTGACCTTACATCAGGCTTCAACAAACTACTGTGGAACACTGGGTGTATTTTCTCCACCAGCTGAGGGAGACTTAATTGGACTTTCACTGGATTGATTACCTTAGAAATAGGGAATGGACCCAAGTATTTAGGACCCAACTTTCTGCTAGGAAGTTTCAACGTAAGATATTTAGTTGACAAAAACACTTTGTCCCCTACTTTAAATGGTGGTTGGAGGGATCTATGTTTGTCTGCTTGTTTTTTATATTCCTCAGCAGCTTCACTTAAAGCTTTTTTCATATTCTCCCAACCTTTCTTTAATGAGTCCATCCATTCTGTTAAAGACATGGATGTTGGGGGTTCCCTAGGCATAGGGACAAAATCCATGCTGGTGTTGAATTGGAATGGAGTCAAGCCTGTGCTGCTCTGTACTGCATTATTGTAAGCAACTTTTGCAAATGGTAACAGTTTCACCCAGTTCACCTGTTGATAATTTACATAACATCTAATGTATTGCTCCACCATGTGTTCGCTCTCTCCGCAGCACCATTTCATGCAAGATGGAATGCTGAGGAAAGACCCAATGGACTTCAAAGCTCCCTCCAGAACTTAGTAGTAAACTGTACACCTCAATCTGAGATTACTCTACAAGGTATTCCATGGAGCCTATAGATATGCTTCATGAACACTGTTGCAAGTTTCTTAGCCAACAGTAGTCCGTTACAGGCTGTAAAGTGGGCTTGCTTAGAGAATAAGTCAACAACAATCCAAATCACAGTATTTCCTCCACTCTCCAGTAACTATAAAGTCCATCACTATTTCTTCCCACGGCTTTGTTGGTTCAGCTACTTGTTGAAGGAGGCTAGGGGTTTTTCCAGTTCTGTGTTTTATCGTGCTACAAATTGAACAGCTCTTCACATAGTCCTCAACATCAGTTTTCACTTTTGGCCACCAGAACTGTCTCTTGAATAAATGTAGGGTTTTTAAGAACCCAAAGTGTCCCTCCAACCATGAGTCATGGCTATGTTTCAGAACCATCAGTCTTAGGGCATTGGGTACATAAATCTTGGTTTCTTTCCAAGCCAATCTTCGTTCATTGTCAAATTGGTTTGATGTTCAACAAACCATGGATCAGTTAAAAGTGCTGCTTTCAACTTGACTGTCAGTTTGTCTTCTAGGCACCTGGAGCTGCATTTGGCTTGGCCTCAAGTGGTTACTTGGCATGCGGGTTGAGCTTCTGTTATCATAGTTTGCACTACCTCCTCCCAGTGACTGTCCAATTAGGGTCAAATTGATTAGTTGCATAAATACCGCAGGGGGCCCTGGAGTCCGAAAGGCATGACTCAGAACTGGAAACTACCTAGAGGGCAGTTGAAGGCAGTTTTCCATTCGTTTCCCTCTTTTATGCAAACTCAGTAGTAGGCTTCTCTCAGATCTAGCTTGGTAAAGATCTTGCCTTTAGACAGGTGATTTTAAAAGTCCTTCATGAGGGGGAGGGGGTACATGTTTTTTATGCACACACCATTCACACCCCTAAAATCAACGCATAATATTAAGCCACCATCATTTTTTTCCCCTTTAAACAGTACTGGGGTTGCCAACCTAGATTTGGCAGGTTCAATGAAACCCCTGTCCAAATTGGTATCAATGTTATTTTCTCAACTCAGAAATTTCAGCTGGTGTCATGGACTATATCTTTGGCTTTGGCAGTTTTGTCCTGGGTTCTAACTTGATGGCACAATCAGTGGCTCAATGGGAAGGGGGGCAAAATGTTACATTCCTCTTCACTGAAAACAAGTCCCTGTATTCTTTAGGGACTCGGGGTTTGCCGGGAGGAGAGTCTGAAGCAGTGGCTGCTGCTTCTGGTTGTGGATCCCTGTTGGATGGCAGTTTCTTTGTGGGAGGAAGTGGGTAACGGGCTGACCCCAATTATGATTTTTCAGTATCCATCTTCCCACTTGATGGTAGGGGCCCATTTATCCAGCCAAGCAAGTCCCAATATGATAGATTCTGACATTTTTGGAGCCACTACAAAACGGATGAGCTCACAGTGTCTGCCCATCTCTAGTTTGATTAACTCTGTAATTTGGGTGGCCGGGACTCCTCCAATTAACATTCCATCTACTTGTTCAAACCTGATTGGGTGTTTCAGGGCTTTAGTCTTTATTCCTAATTGTTCAGCAATGGGAAGCCCAATAAGGCATCTGGAACACCCAGTATGTATTACTGCTTCTACCTCCCCTGTCTCCCCCATCTCAGGCACCACCAATTTCACCTTAACTGTAAAAGGGGGAATGGCAGCACTCACCATGGGGTCCTCTTCTTCATCTGCCTCTGGGGGGAAGATTTCTTGGGCTGGAAATTCCTTGCTCCCTTCTGTGTGGAGGGGACCCTCTACAGCATCTCTAGCAATCCGGCTAGTGTCTGGAGGCTTCCGTGGAATCCTTTGACCCCTGGCAGCTGTACTAGGCCTCAGTTGTGGAACAGGTGCAGGAGCCAGACAGTCGGCTGCCCTATGACCAGCCTGACCACATCGATAGCACTTTAGAATCCTTGTGGGTTGGGTAGGAGCAACTTCAGCAGGTCTGGTCAGTGGCCATCTGGACACCGTTCTCTTAGGAGGGCCCTCAAAGGGTTTTTTTCCACGTGGGGTTGATTTCTCTGTCCAGCCTAAGGGATATGGCATTCCAATCCTGTAAAGTCTCTGGTATTCCTCTGATGCTGCATGCTTTTTTAACTTCTGGGTCAATAGCATTCTTAAAATAGTGCGGAAGTATTCTGCCAGGCCAGTTCATGAGGTTGCTTGTGACCCTTCTAAAGTGCCATACAAAGTCTTTTAAAGGGTTGCTTGCCTTGTTTCTTTTCTATTATTTTGTCTTCACTTTTCCCAATTCTATCAGGATTCTCAAATCTAGCCCTAAAAATAAAGGCATTGACATCCTGTAGCTCCAGTGCTTCCTCATAGTGCAATTGAGCTACCCAATTTGAAGCATCCCCTTCATTCATCCCATCTCTGATTGCGGAAACCAGGTCACAATCTGTTGCATATTGGTTTCCAAACTGATCTATCTGAGTACTGAAGTAAGCAAAGTGTTTATGCCATCCATCAAATGTTGCTTGAAAAGCCAATTGATCTGGTCGGAAGTGGGGGGGTGAAGGGATCGGCATAGAACTGCGGGGGCTGAACTGGAATGTGTTGAGCCAGCTGTGACATGTAGAGGCTCTGTAGGGGTACTCCAAGGGGAGGCTGAATTGGCACCTGCTGAGCAGAGGCCCTCTGTTGAATTCTTCTCCGCCATGGGAAGGGTGGGGTGCAGTCTGCTGCCTGCGCAGATCCCTTTGCTGAGAAGGGATCGCTGCTTCTCTTTGGGCTCAGGGTGCTCCCGAACCAGGTGGTGCAACAGGTGCTAGCATCCACTGGCGTTGGACCCACCCCTGACCAGGATAAAATCCCAACCTTGGAGGAATACTCTCTGCAGGGAGTAATCTCCTTGCTGATTGTGGAGAGGGAAAAACATAATCAATGTCAGCTGTATCTGCTGTCTCTCCCTTTCTGCTTGGGCCTGCCGGGCTGGGCCAATCTTTTGACCACCTCCAACCAACGCCACACTAGTTCCACTGTCAATTCTTGGACTAGGGAAAGTAAAGGTGGGCTGTGTTAGGACCCAGCTTGTTTGGAGAGGTTGTGGCTGTGAGACATAACTTTCCACTTTAAGTTGCTGAAATTGGTCTGGGATCCCTGCCAACAACTGGCTTTGGGATGGAGGCAACAGGTTCCAGTCTTGGGAGTTGTCTGATTCCAACGTCCCCCCACTTCTCCACTCTGTCTCGTGGGACATCCTCAGAAGGCTGAAGAAGGAAAGATGTTCAGACAGCTTCTCCTCCAGTCTCATCTCTGGATTCAACTCTGTCTGGCAGTTTCTCCATGAATCTGTTTCCTGAGGCTGGTTGCCTGAATCCATCTCCTTGGGTCGGGCGCCTGGTCTCCATCTCTTCTCTGCAGCTTCTAACATTTGCAAAAATTACTCAGAAGGGGGACAGGGGGCCTCAATTAGTTCTCTGGTGTCAAGCCCCATAGCCCCTTCTGTAGATCCTTCCCTTTTTTTCATCTTCACTGAGTCTTCGCACTGCTCTATTTTTGGAGTCAGTCATTTTTGGAGTCAGTGTGATCTTAGTGGAGTTTTATGAAATGGCACTAATACTTTACATGATCTTAATTCTATGCCTTCTGTTTATACAGTCCAGGCTTGTATTAGCTTTTTTGGTGGTGGCTGCTGCACATTGCTGCCTCATATGCAAATGATCATCCACTAGGACTCATGATTCACTTAACTGCAATTATTTCCTTAACAGTGGCAAAAAAGATTGTAAAATGAGGTGCAACTCATTTTGTCAACTCACTTAGGAATGTACATTTTGGACTCGATTATAGTTTTAAGTTGAGAATTACTTGTAGTTACCTTTGAGACTATTAACTTACAAGGTGTGATCCAGCAAAGCAAAACTTACATACCACCTCTTTCTATCCCTTGGTTAATAATACCCAATTTCTAGGGCATATTCAAAGCACGCAACCAAGTACAAAGCAGGGAGTCATTCTCAAGTATAGCATATATCCTCAACCCCTACAGATCTGCTCTTCGTAACAAACTAAGATGCTTGTTTTGTTTGAGACATAAATTTGCAGGGTGGCTGAATCCCATAACTTTTCATTCAGGCTCTGAAAGGATACAGTAGAGGTTGCTATGCTTTATCCAAAGGAAGTGAACTTTTCCATGGGAGAGGACTGGGGTCAGGTCGCATTCCTCCTCCTTTTGCATGAAGAGTGGCATGAAGTAATCAATCTCTGACATGCTGACATCTCCCTTATAGTTGCGGCTGATTAGTGGCTACAGTAGAAAAAAGTGGTTAAACAATGTAGAATTCAAAAGCATTGAATATGTATGTTTGGAATAAGCACTGGAAGAGGAGTCTCTCCTTTTACTACAGTGCAAAGCATATATTTTTCTCCAGCTGCTTCCCAAAGAGATTTAAACATCAGTTTCTGCAATTAAATTCTATCACTATATTCTGCAGGCTATGTTGGATTGCAATGTATCTTGTATATACAAGACACATTGCAGGTCTAGGCCAAATAAAAAAGAGCTACTCTACAGTAGAACACTGATGGATGAGCAGATGTCTTTCCATGTATCTGTGGTGAAAAAAATCATTGCTTAGGTATCCTGAGGGAAAACTCCAATAGTAGGAGCCCCATACTTCAACATGCTCCATCTGTCAAGAGCTAGAGTATTACTTATAAAAACTATAAAATCTGCACTATGAACTTGTAAGAACAAAAAAGATAACTAGAATGCAGTGCTTCAGATTTAATTTGGAGGATACTGGCAACAGCAGGATATTGGTCCAACTACTTTGCTTAAAAAATCAACATTAGATTAGATTAATAGATAGATAGATAGATTGATTGATTGATTGATTTGGGATGTTTTAGGTCCACTATCTGAGTAATAAAACAATACAGGGAGACAGTTAGTTAACTTTGTTACCTAGATACTGTAGAAAGTAAGCACCCACCCCTCTCTTAGAAGTATGAAATATTTTGAGAAATATTAAAAAGGAAGAATATTATATTTCCCTGGATGAGAAATGGAGAAACATGTTTTTTAGAGGGAGAAAGCAGCCCTTACCTTTTCTTAATAGCCCACAGCAGATGTCAGCACTTAAGAAATAAAAAATAGAGAGGGCGGGGCTGACATTGCGATAAGACGATGGGAGATTCATGACCTGGAGAGCCATCAAAATCATCGCAGCTGGACAGTCTGTTTGGACCCAAATCATCCCAAAGAGATGGTGGAAGAGGAGAGTGCATCCTGCTGATCCCAGGGACACTGCAAAGTCCCTGGTTGATCCAGGAAAAGCTCTCTAATCTGGCTGCAGAGGAAAGTGGCCATTGAAAAGCTGCTGAAAGGTTGGGACAGCTCCAGAACGGAAGAGGATACAGAAAGTGTGTCGGCTTTGGGTGAGGTTTTTTTAAAAAAATTCTGACTAAGAATGAAAGAGCATCTTAAGGGGGAAAAGATTTTAAGAAGATAGAAGACAGAAGAGAAAATAAACGATGAAACTGAGCTTATTTTAAACTGTCAAAACTAATTATTTTACTGTACTTTAACAAGAAATTAATTTTTCAAACTGGACTGGACTTTACAACAATAATTAAAGGAAGAAAATTTTTAACTTTCACCTTAAATATAGATCTTGGACTATTTTTTTCCCGTTTCCTAACCATTACTTTTTTGCTTCAGCCTTACTGTTAGAATATACTCCCCCCCCCCCCCGCTTCCCTTCAACACTACTTGTGGACTACTTGATCATTTCCTTTCCCTTATCTTGCTCAATTGCTATCAGTCTGTTATCTATTTCTCCTGCTTTTTTCTCTGTTTGATCTCCTCTTCTATTTTTTGGAACCTTTCCTCATTCTTCATCATCATTTGTTGTATATTCTCCATTTTCTCATCCATTTTTTCCATTTTCCCCATTTTACCTTCCATATGCCTCACTACAAAATGTATGAGACACTATGAAGGCCGATATTAGAGGTCTGATTATAACTTATACGAGAAGAAGGAATATTAAAAAAAGACAAGCACAACAAATCTTAGAAGAGGATTACAAAAAACTGGAGAAAGAACTACAAAGATATCCACAAAAAAAGAACCTCAAAAGCCAAATGAAAATAGTTAAGCACAAAATGGGGCTGATGGAAAAAGAAGGTTGGCACAAAAAATTAGGAGAGCTAAACAGAACTTTTTCAAAAATGCAAACAAACCAGACAGATGGTTAGCATATAAATTGAAAAAGGAGTGAGAAACAAAAAGGATAATACAATTAATAGATGAACATGGAACAGGTTGCTATGGAAATGAGGAAAAAAAGAAATAGTTCAGAAGTATTATGAGAAATTATATGAACAAGAGAATATTGAAGAAATAAAAGTTAAACATTTGCAAAAAGCAGAATTGCCCCAAATACCTGAGGAAACTAAGATAATGTTCAAAGGGAAAATAACAATGATGGAACTGCACTTCCAGTGGTGATGTCACAGTGGAGCGGAATAGGAGAGCGATCTCTGCAATCCTGTATCTGAATTTTCGTGCTTGGAAGTTCTCAGAGGCATCATGAAGCTTGGAGAGACACATGAATTAGAAGGGGAAACCTAGGAGCAGAGTGGAGGAAAGCAACATCCTGCTGTGACGAGGGGAAGCCCTTTGAATCTGGCATGAAAGAAATCTGGCATCTTCAATGGGTCTGAAGCTGTGACAGCCAGCTGCGATTGGGAAGCAGGAAAGTGGATCAACACAAGACATTAGAAGAAGAACGGCAGACTGGGACAGTTTTTGAGAGGTGAGAGAAGAGAGCCCTGTGAAAGATTCTTGACAGAGGGAGTCTCTGGAAAGAGTGAATAAAGCAGCTAATTGGTGGGGAATAGTGGAGCGAAAGGGAGAGGAGGAAACAGACCAGTTTGACAGCTGAGAGAGAGTGCTGCAGAAGAAAAGATTGAGACTCCGTGAATAAAAACTTAAAATTTCTACGATTTGGATTGATTACTAGCAGAGCAGAAAAGAGACATTAGAGAGAATTGGAACTTTAGTGGAGAACTGTAGTGGAACCATTTTGATAGAAAGCTGTGACTGCAATTTGAGAGTGAAAGTGACTAAGTAGTTAAAGACAGCTGATGAAACAGGAAATCAGGAAAGTAATTTGACGGTGTGCAGAAGAAAGGGAAAGAAGAAGGAAGAAAGAAGAAAGCTGAATAATTTCTAAGTATTAAATTCAAACTTGTATACTGGGGAAAAAAATAATATCTATATCTATATCTATATCTATACCTATATCTATCTATCTATCTATCTATCTATCTATAGGAATGTTTGTAAGAAGAATTAATTTATGTATCCTAATTTATAGATTGCTACATTTTTTATAATTGCTATACCCTATATATCCTTTATATTCTTTCCACAATTTGATACTTTGGACAACTAATTAATCAATTGATGTATAACTAATTAATGGTTATATATTGATTCACAGACTTAATTGAGCTACAAGAAAGTTATAAGCTATAGTATATAAGGAAAGAAAATAATCAAACACACATTTATCTATACTTATTGAATTATATCTATTTACTATATAATCTATTATATTTTATTTAGGATTATACTCAATTTATTAAATGGACTAAATAAGATTAGAAAAGAGGGTTATAGACTATCATAGATTATAAACAATAACGATATTTATCTTAACATTGTTGTTTAAATACATATATATATATATATAAAAGGCGTACATAAAATTAAGGAGAGACATTACTAAGCATATTAGACCTTGTAGTAATAAACTGAAGGGATTAGAATAAGATAAAAGGGAAGAGATATAAACACAGACAACACAGAAGGGAGCTGATACAATGGATGATAATATTGAAAGACTTTCTCAAGAAAATAGGTAGATTTGGGAAGCCTAAGATGTCCACCATGACAGCCACTGCTAAGATTAGGAAGAAAACAACATCCAACCCAACATCAATGGTAGCATCACCAGCAGGACAACGTTCAATAGAGGGCAGGCGGAATCCTGAGAAGACAAGTCAGGTATCAAATATGCAAGCAATTCAAATGGCATTAACAACAATACAAGAAACGATGGTGAGAAACCACACAGACATTAAAACTGAAATGGGGGAAATGAAAGGTAAAATATGGAAACTAGACGAGAAGATAAGTACAATCCAACAAACAGTAGTAAAGATGGAACATAAGATGAAAGCAGTGGAGGCAAAGGTCAAACAAACAGACAAGAAAGTAGAATCAATAGAACAGAAATTAATGGGAGAGAAGAGGAAATTAGAAGAGGCAATTGCATATTTGCAGATGGAAAAGGCTGGTTTCTTCCTCAGATTTCAGAATGTAACAGAAGAAAGAGGGGAGGACTTGCCCAAATTAATGGCAGATCTCATAGCAGAAGTGTTACAAAAAGAGGGCCAAGAGGTTTGAAGGGAAATGGACGAGGTATATAGAATATATACCAACTATACAGATGTTTTAAACTTCCAAGAGAGGTTCATATATGATTCTCAAAGAAACAACTGAGAGATGAGATATACAAAGTGACTAGAGACAAACCGCTGATATTTAAGGGAACAGAAATTGTAATGTTGAAACAAATTCCAAGAAGAATAAGGGAATACAGAAAGAAATATAGATTCCTGACCGCCCAACTGAATAAGAATAACATCTTGTTCAAATGGCTCTTCCCAGAGGGAATGTTAATATCATGGCAGGATAAAAAATTAAAACTATATAGTATAGAAAAAGTGAGGGAATTTTTTGAACTGTATGTGGTATCAGGAGAAGACCAGAACAGCAATGAGGAAGTGGAAACCAGGAGCTAAGAAGAAGGTCGGGTGGAGGAAAGAGAAATAGAACAAGAGGAAAGAGAACAGAAGAAGTGGAAAGAGAAGGCATAAGAATGAGACACCAAACAAGAGCAAACAAGCTTCAATAAGTAACAACTACAGAGTAAGATGGTGGAAGAAATCAAGTTGATTACCATTAACATCAATGATTTAAATTCACAAATTAAAAGGAAAAAAAGATAACTAAACTACAGAAATTGAACTTAGATATTATATGCCTTCAAGAAACACATCCAGAAACATCAAAGTAAACTGTTAGAAGCAACAAAATTAGGAGATTTATATGTATCTCTAGCCCAACAAAAAAAGGGGGATAGCAATATATATTAAGAAACATTTACAAGCAAAGCAGGTATATGCAGACAAGGAGGGTAGGATCCTGATGTTAGAAGTTTATATAAACTA